TCCTCGAGAGCCTGACGAAGCTGATCTTCGGTATATTGAGGCATTATATATAGAAGAAGACATGTGCAAAAGATGAGCCCATTTGGACGCGAATTGAAAATGTTGTGATAAAAGGAGGTTGGGGGTGGGCATTGGGTTGTGGTGGATTTTCGCGTTTTTTTGGGTGCCAGAAACAGGGGGGTGCCAGGAAGTGGGTATGTTGACTTAGCACTTGACGCAGCCGCCGAAGCAGTAGTGCTTTGCGGTTACGGCAGTTGCCAATGACAAGAGACCGAGTACAGTAGCGAACTTCATTGTGTTGTATGATATGGTGTTTTTCGATTGCCGGATGTGCTTGCAAGGAGGTAGAATGAAGGCAGGTGAAGGGCGGAGGTCTTGTGTGAAGGTGTCTACCGGCTTCAGTGATTTATTCGAGCTGGCTGGAGGTAGAGCATCATATTATATACAACGTGTTCTGTGATATGTCTTAATACCCCGTCTCTAGGCAAGCACAACTTCATTGAGACCTGCTTGAGAAATGCGAATTGCTGTCACCGAGTTTTGTCAATCTCTCGGTGTGGGCATCTAGCCTCGCGAAGAATAAAGCGAGCCACTATGTGGATGACGGAGAAGCCGAGAATACGGGAACTAACATCACCAAACACTCCACGATCGTCGCTCGCGGCCCCACCAATGGTGCTTCCGCATTTCTGGCCGCATTTGAATCAATGCAAGGCCTTACGGAAGACAACGACTGACCTTGTAGGTTTCTTGCGCGTTTCCATATCAAGCAAAAGCCGTCTGCTGTAAACCCAAACTTCGTAGTCTTTTGGGCCTATTCGTGTTGTGGTTGATCGTAGTCTACTCGAGTTTTCCAAGGACTTGACTGCGAGTCGTGGCAGCGCTGGTGTGGACTGATTCTGATTTTGAGTGTTAAGATATAGGTGAGCACGTTCAAGCAAGTGGCCATGCTTACAAGTTGCTTGCGGGCCAGCCAAGCAAGAGCTCCGTCATACATCGCGTGCAGTTATTATGATTCTGAATTTCTGTTATTGCAGGGCATCGGCCCTCGAGATAGTCGACGGCTTACGCAACTCCATTCTTGCGATGGGGCTGAAGGTTTAAAGAGAAAAAGTTATCGAGCCGATCCGACTTGGCGTTTCTTGACTCAGCGCGTTCGTAATAGTTTACAAACGAGTCACCTGGAAGTTGATGAATACTCCTTCCTGCCCGATAAATTTTAATGAACGGCAATAGAGAATCGAAACTATCGAGTCACCCCTCACCGCCAGAATCTTTGGCTGGATGATCCTCGTTCAAGGATCACACATGCATTGACAAAAGCAAAGGCGGTCACTCGGAAGTCTTAAGGTAGCAATGGCTCTGAGCAAGAGGACACCAGGAGTGTAGGCGGTGAACGATGAATTAAAGATCCATCGCAGCTTGCCTTCTACGACGTCTCGTAGCCAGGAGACTGGCGCTCTCGCCTGCTTTGAAGGCATCGTTAAAAGTGACTTGCGTTTGAGTGCTGGGGCTAATGTACCCGTCGGGCCCGGTGAGTAAACATAATCGCCGGCTCGTTGAGCCTGCTTACTGGTCAGTGAGAGAACACTAATCTGCATTCCCGCAGGCAAGTCACGCAAGGCTGTTAACTAAGCAGATAAGCAGGTAATATGTGCGACTCATCTTGAAGGTGAAATGAATAGTGCGATTCAAGCAAATTTCCCAAAAGACATCGATAGTTCATGTGTTCTCGTACGCATTCAACATCGTAGATTGTGTAGTCAATACCCTGCAGAATGCAGCATAGTCATTGGCACAAGTTCGGGGACTGCCACAATCCGTTTCTTGAAGTCCGGGGATTTGATGCAATACGGAAATTACAACACGCAATCCCCGAAATCTTGAAGTTTCTTGCTGGCATACAGGAGGCAGTGATTTATTAAGATTATTGGCATCGAATGGAGAGAAGTCTAAAATGATGTAAAAGACTGCCTTCGCCAAACTGCCTCATTCTAAACTGATACCGATTTCTCGGATCGCGCGTATATCCTCACAGGTCAACTTTTCTTTCGTTCCCTCAACCTCTTCCACTCGTGTGCGCCAATAGCTCCCAAAGTCTCCCGGGTCAAAACTTGGATTTATCAACCTAATAGCAAGTTCTTCCATCAATTCTTCCAAGTTGTCGGCCAAATATCGGTCCTCTTCCTGTATTTCCGCCACTTCCTTTGGGTCCATTATCCATATCTCATCATACACATTCGTGATGTTTCTGGCTTTTCTCCTGGTGTCGTACTTATACTTGCAGCATGTATGGCTCATACCGAGGAAATCAAACGTCGTCGCGCGTACAAAATCTAGCAAAGGTTGCGGATTTTGTTGGCGCGAAGTATGCAGAATGGTTGAAAAAACATTCCACAAGTGATTCAATATCCAGTATTCGCTGACATAACTGCCATTTCCTGGCCAAGCCTTGGCGAATGCGGAGGCTGGACTACACCCTCGGCTTGAGCAATAACATTTGCAACCGTCTCTAGATGTATCAGAAAGGATTCGTGTAAGAAGTGACTTGTTCTTGACATGATAGACAGCAGGGTGAGAAGAGTCAATGTAGCATGGAAGTTTTGACATTTTCCCAAAAGCAGTGGCCAATCGAAGAAGAGTAGTAGGAGACGCAGACGATGAAGGTATTGTCTCGTTCGAACTGCAGCTAAAAGTAGGGATGGCATGCTTAATGTCAACCCCGTGAGCTTCAAACCAGGCAATAGAGTTCAATAAATCGTCAGGATTTTCCTCGAAATAGTCACCGAATATTCTCATGGTTGCTAGCGGGATCCAACCATTGAATGCGAAGTTGAACCCTTCGAAACCGGAGCGGTATAAACCTTCCGTCAATTGACCATTCATCACCGGAGAATGGTAGATTGATCCAGGTCGGACTCGCTGAAAGATTGAAGGTATGTCGATATTTCTGGCCTGAAGTGCCTGTAGAACTTCAAACGCGTTCGTTTGCAGCATGGTTTGTTTCGTTGTGCCCAGGGCGAACAGTTCTTGCACCGTCAAGGTTTTCCTTGCAAAACGCAACATCTCTCTCCTGCGAACGGCTAGTTCATCGCACAACAAGTCGATAATTTCCTGACTCTGATAATCAGCGTCGAGAGTATAAGGGTGTCCAAAGAATGTAGCACTGTTCTCAAGATCGATGCTGGCTCCCTGTTCAAGCAACAATTTGACGGAGTCTACTTGATGCAAGAGTACGGCCGAGTGAATTGCCGTGAGTTGCGAAGCGTCTTCGAGATCAATGATTTGCCGACAGGCATCTCCAGCCAATTCGAAAAGCAGTTGGAGGCCTCTGGGCCAGTAAGCGGCCACATGAAGAGGAGTCTGGTCGTTGTGGCATCGCTCGATCATAATGGATGACGACGCCATCAAAATCCTTCGGAGAGCCGGTTCTGATTTTTGAAAAAGCGCAGAGGACAATGCACCGTAATCAAATCCTTTCAGCGTCATTACTTTGCGGCTAATATAAAAAGACGAGATGTGTTAACATCAGACTTACCATCAAGATGCCACGAGAAACACTGGTAGATATCAGGTAAAGTCAAAATCTTGTATTCCGATAGGATGACTAGTTTTTCTGATTCTAAACCGAATGTTGGATAATCGATATATAGAGCACCTAGTTCAATTAATCCTTTTGCAAGGACCAACGAGCCTGTTGGTAGATCTTGTGAAGTCCTCTTCGTATGCTCCAGGCGCCTTCTTCTACGGAGCTCAAGAAACCATGACAGGGCCGAACTAGGTCTGTTAGTCTATTGAAGTTCAATGGTCGAAAACTGAGAACGAATCTTACCGGAAACATCCACTTTCGTTAAGGGGTACGCCCATAAGTACAAGTTCCTTCATGAACCGTACCCAAATCTCGGACATTCGATCAGGCCATAAGTGGCCATGCACATTACTAGCCCTCTTTTTGAAATTAGCAAAGCTTAAAAGTAGACGATGATATGGCACGGCAGAGTTCTCCTACATGAAGAAGAGTTTGACCGAGGAAGTTGATGTCACCTGGCGAGGCTCTGCCGCGCCTGAACAGACATCTCAAGTCCTTTGACACTGATGATATCTGAGCTTGAAGAGCTTCTGCTGTAATATCTGAAGTTCTAAGAACTAATTCATCGACCAGTGTAAAAGCAGGTGAGTCACTTGATACCAAGGATCGCGCTACTATTGCTATTGCAGGATGAATCTGTAAATCTCGGTAGAACAGTCGCCGTGAGTACTGGATTTCCAATTTCCAAGAAATCAGAATGCTGAAAAGTTGAAGCTTGCCTTTTATGGCTCGTTGACTAGGGTTCATGAAGAAGAGATCGCAATGGCTGTCGTGCTTGGGGCGACCACGGATAGACACGTCTCGCCGTCCGAGGAGAGAGTTGGCCCTGCAAGAACACCCAAAATTCTGATAATTTTCGTCGCTCGGTACTTCTGAAGAAGGCAAAGTCTTCGGTGCATTATCTTCGAGTTTGATGCGAGATGATGCTTGGGCCACGGCGTCGCTTGTGAGGAAATCGTCTGCCGAGCTGTTTGCGGTGTTACTTCGACTTTCGTTCTTGGGATGCAGACTCTTCCCACAATGTTTCGGTGACGGAGGCGATGAAGGCGAGGAATTCATTGAAACGTCGCCGGCTCCTGGGCTAGACCTCAACGATACCAATGACGAGCGTTCGATTCCAGCCAGCTTTGTATCAATCACTCTTTCCAAAGCAGGCAATAATGCAGCTATTTGGCTTGCTGTCTTCTGATTTTCATACATGATTAAAGAAACCATTTTGACGGATTCGGAAATCGCAGCTTCTCGTAGCTCATTGGTAAGGTCACTGGAAACCACATTAGAGCTAATCGAGTGTTCCAGTGGGGAAATCTTACTACATACTGGTTAAGGAGGAGCAAATAACTTGTCATTGCGGTGTAGAACCCTTGCATTTCTGCCTTTAGTCTGTCGAACTTGGCCTTTTGCAAGGGATACAGCAAATGTCTCGCGGCATCTTTTCTATACTCCTTGAGTTCTCTTGGCCCTGGTGACCGAGTTTGCTCTTTGGCCAGGATTTCAAATTCCTGAGTGCATCCCTGACAGGCGTCGAAACAGTTTCTTAAGGACATTGACAGCGCTGAGTCGATGTGATGACTTGCTTGCAACCGAGTTTGTATCAGCTGAAGGAACGAATCTAGTCTTTGTGCATGCTCCGTGAGGTTGATGAGATCAAAGTCGCGTGACCTGTAATCTTGGCAGAAGGTATTGATACCTTTGCAGACAGTAAGTCCAAGGGAAACAAGACCCGCAACGCCACTGGATATAGACAGAGGATCCATGGATTAATGACGACGCGGCTTCACGTGTTGACCGGTGGTTGTCGTGGTCTCAAATCCATGAGAATCTTCTGGGGCAAGAAAGGAAATTAAAGGAAATGAACTCGGGGTGACAATTTAAGGGATAATGACAGCCTGATTTCAGAAGGGTGAGAAGTAAGCAGCTGATGAGGCTGCAGGCTTTTTGACATTGCAGCACTGCTGACTATTGTCTTGGTGGTGTGGTACGGCGATTTGGTATCTCCCCAAGTGCGTGTTGGCAAGCAATGAATGGTTGCCTTATTTCTTTGATTGGATTAAGTGGATTGCGAAGGACCAATCATAAACGCATTCTGTCTGCTCTGTTGGCTTACTAGGGATGCCTTGTGTGGCTGAAGACGCTCAGAACACCTGCTGCTGATTCGGTCTGGTCGGTATTAACCAGATAAGTCTTGCGAGAAGCCTAGAGATGTACTTATGTCAGGTACGTCTAGTACAACCGAGGGACAAGGGAACTGTCATCATATCAGCTTTCTGAGCGATTATCGTAATGAAAGCACGGTACAGCAAAACCTATGCTACTCTGGATCAGGTGACCTTTCACACAATATACCACGAGCTCAGCATTGAGCTAGAGGTTGTGTTCAATTAATGAGAGCCCGGTATGAGAAAATTGACTTTGTGGATGGATAATCAGTTGAATTCTATGATGGTATCTTTTTACTCTCTCGAAACATATGTTGTACAATCTTTTGCCATCCTCCCAATGCTATGTGTAAGGTACACCCATTCCTATCGTCGCTGGAGCGTGTTCTTTAATAAATCGGCTAAATATTTACTCGAGGTCGAAAGAGCGGGCACCAGTGTAGTGCTGAACAACAGCGTTGGGCTGGTTGGAGATCTCGAAGTCGGAGTTGGGGAGAAGGTGGGAGCCAGTCTGGTTGCTGCTGGGGGTAACCGGCTGAGAGACGGTGAGGGTGAGACCCTCGGCGCTGCGGACGACGTCGAAGGTGCGGGAGGACAGGGTGCAAGTGCCCTCCTTGACATCGGGGAGAGTGCCGTCGGTGTTGCCGGGGACAAGAGCGGTGCAGTTGACACCGGTGGTCTCCATGGTACCGGGCTGGATGACAGTGAATCCGTAACTAGAAGGTTATTAGCATGTGTGAGAGGATGTTGCAGAGTTGTCAAAACTTACGAGCACTGGGTGCTGTGGGGAATGCAGTCGGCACCGAAGTTGGTGACCTTGAAGGTAACGTCACGCTTGCTGATGGCAGCAGCGGCAGCGACGGAGGCGGAAGCGAGAAGAGTGGCGAACTGCATTTTGAAGGTTGTGGTGGTGGTTTTGGTGTTTGTTTGGGTGATTAAAGAATAGGTTGTTGTGTGTTGTGAGTTGGTTGTGATTAGATGAGTTGATTGTGTGTGATACAGATCGAAATTACCATGATGACTTGCGAAGTTGTCAACCTTATATATCACTTTGATTGCAACCAAATCTTGAATAATACGAGGAGTCGGGAGGCTATCCACCGGGGCAATGACGATCGCCAACGGCGATCGGTGGACCCCGGTACTGCCGAACTCGTATTTGACCCGACTCCCGAATTAGTCTTGAGGTGAAACGTCATAGCCTCCAACCCCTATATGACGTCTATTATGCAAAATAAACAACGGAGAAGTCCACTTCCAATTACTCGGTAATAGCCCTGTTCAATTTACAATTTCCTGCCATGCGCAAAATAGGAATTTCTGATGGCGAGAGCGCGCATAATGAAACACATCAACCGCGCCCCCTTACCATAACATGCAGCATCTCCAATACTATGTACAATCACAGCCAATGTTGATTATGGCATAACGTGGAAAAGGGGCCTTCCAACTTCAATTGCGGGAACACCTAGAATTCCCTCAAAAGACCCCCAGGCTTAAACTCCCGCATGTCCACAATGGATCCAGAAAAGCCCCCTCTAATGACGGGCTCAAGGTTTGGCAGCTTATGTTGTATGATTAGACGAACCCTCGTACGCATAGCCTTTTGATTGGATCACCCCACAACTTTCCCCGCCTCAAGGCACATGATGGGACGATTGTCAACTTTTAATCTATCTATTTTGGGCAGCTTGCAGACAAAGTCACCCCTGTCGCGCGATCATCACTCCCCCAACCTCGGAGAAAACTAGCTCCCCGGAGGCTTCTTTTTCAGCCCAGAAGGTTGACCAAGCGAGCCTTACGCACGCCAAGCTTCTTCCCGCGGCTCAGATGAACCGGGCCAAAGCCGATTTCCCTGCCCGCAGCGTGCAGTTGGCCGACCCCACTCTCCCTGCCAAGCTTGAAGCGTTGGCATGTCGATGGCAGGGGTCTCCTTCTATGCATGACTTGTTGCTCGGTCGAAATCCTGAGCGTGGACTCTCTTGAGGTCATGATTTGTTGTTTCTGTTTATGTTTTGTGACTGACCATTCAAGCTACTTGAAGATCGGAAGAGGATTTTCAGCCTGGAGTTCGAGAGATTTCCATCGGCTTCAATTCTGCAAGAAGCCGGGAAGCGAAAGAGACACACCTTTCTGCCAACTGTCGACTGGGGCTCCGATAAATCGTAACTCGAACCCACTGGGCTCAGTAGACTTTCCCGTCTACATTGGCAGGTGCTTAACAGGTTACCCAGCTCATTATCTCGTGGCGGTGAGACCTTCACCGATCCTCTCCCTCGCCAGTCTGCGGACGGTGGACCACTGAGTCTATACGAGATCCACCACTTGTGTCAAGGGGCTGTGGCAATGGGCGATGAGACATCGCTAATGACACAGGGACACGATAGACCTCGCCTAAGTCGGCTTCGCGGCTAAGTTCTATCGCTAAGGGAGAACAGAAAGCCAGCACGTTGAAGCGATTCTCGGTCTTTGAACGCTAAGAATAAGGTAACGTAACGTTGGTCAAGTCGCCGGGTGAATTGAGTCCGACCAACGTCCCTGAAAGGCATGTTCATGACGTCGATGTCTACTTCGTATCCGAATCCGGCAAGACTCGGCTCCCCGTTCGGGGCGCCGGGGTGTTCGGGGAAAGGTCTAATGCGGCTTTGGCGCGGCCCGTGACGCCACTTCCTCGATTTCAGGGTTCCCCTCTAACCGAATTTAGGATCAAGCCAGAGAGTAGCGTACATTTGGGTCCGCGCTGGTCGAGTGCTTAAGGAAGAGGCGCATGCTTCTGCGATAACGTTTCGATCTGCAAGCCACAGGATACCGGCGGGTATCCTCGAAGGCGAAAAATTCTAAAATAAGACCGTGTGAAAGAGGCTCAGCTGGAGTCTGAAAACTCAAGTTGAAAGCGCATCGTTCACCCTCACAGAAACGGTTGATTTTAGGTTCCCCGCGGGCAGCGAGGCTTCCTTGTAAGAACTCCTTTTAATTATCCACAGCACATGAGTTACGCTAAATCATGCTGCTACCATTGTCTGTTTTCTTACATTTGCAGCTCTTCGAGCAATTGTTAGAGATGCGGTATGGTCATGTTCTCCAACACAACGGTCTCAGCGCGTGTCTCTTGATTTCGCTGGGGTCTCGTAAGAACGAAAGAATCATTCCGGGTATGGATACCTCGTAGTACTGTCCCTTTTACTTCATACTTTTCCCCCTGAATTCTGTATCATGATTATCTACATACTTTCATCGCGGTAAATGAACTTTGCTGGTCGCCAAAGTTGATCCGGAAGACCTCTCCATATCTTCAGCCCATTCAGGATTTATCATGCGCTAGTATCAGGTCGTCCTCGAAAGCTGCCTCTCAACTTAGCCCTTTCTCTTCCATTTTCCATGGTCCTTACTACCAGTAAGTCATTCAAAATTTCAAATCAATGATGCATTACTATCATCTCTGGGAAAGGACGATGTCGTAACATCACTACCTTTGGTTTAGGAGCTGCGAAAGTGACCTTGATAGCAGCCCATGTAAGCTGAAGGATCTATTAGCTGTTAGCTGGCTTCTGATCGTAGCTTCTCAAGCTCTGTGATATTCAGCTGTAG